CTTGAAAAACCTCAGTCTAAAATGAGCAACTTCTCTGCAATTGGTTCCTCTGTTTCTTCCCATCACCTGCAGGCACCTCGTGCCTTGATAGTGGGTTTACATTCATGTTAAGCCCTTTAGTGGGGCCCTGGTTGCTCAGCAGATAGTGGGTTTACATTCATGTTAAGCCCTTTAGTGGGGCCCTGGTTGCTCAGCACTTTGAAGCTCTACAGAGCTATAAGGAAGAGCAAAGCAGGGACTCCAGCCCTTGCTTTTGTTTCAATGACGTTCTGGTATCACAGAGAATTCATTGCACAATTTCACAGTGAAATGCACCCTGGCTTCAAAGCATCCCCAGTCACACCCAGAGATGCACAGCAAGGTCTGACTTCTCTTTGCATCCTTATTTCTGGGCATCTACCTGGCAGCCAATGGACTTATCTCTCAGCCTTGCTTTTCCATGACTAGTCCAACTTCTCCTCTCCTGCTACCACATTCAGAGCAAGGGGTTGTAGCCTCAGCAGCAAGACGAAGCATAAACCCCCTGGTTGAGTTGCCAGCCTTCATAGCCTACATTGAAATGATCCTTGTTTCTGCACATCGTCCTTTTTCTGGCTAGAGACAGCATCAGCCTGAAGTTTGAGGGACAACCCAATGTCCTTCAGGATGGAATGACCAAAATGGATCCAGACCAATACCCTCAGTAGGACTGCTGTGTGACAGGGATCTGGAAATAGTGACACCCATGCACCCAGCTCTGCCTCACACGCTCCATGTGGAACATCAAGAGTTGGGAGAGAGTCCAGGAAGGGAAAGAACACAGAGAAAGATGGGCAAGAAGAGAGCCCCGTTGTATCTAGTTTGGTTTCTTGCTCCAGGAAAGCCTACAATCCAAGCTGAACAAGATACAAACACAGGAAAGAAGTCAATGGACATGAGGATAAGGAGAATAATTTGGTTTCTTGGGAATATGGGCACTGATGAGCTTCTTGGATTGTTTTAACTGATGGCAACAGGAATGGTTAAGTCTGCCTCCCCCCATTCATCCACTGGGGATGGTGCATGTACTTGCTTGGCCAGGAGGCATTTTGTTCTTGGCTCCTGACGGTGTCCTGGGGCCTCTCCAAAGCCAGATGAGATCTGAGAACAAGCCACCAGTCTTAAAGGTGCTTAAAGGTGGAGCTGACAAGCAGCTGGCAGGCAGCAGGTAGGAATGTGGATGCTGTTTGCATACTTCATGGCTGTTTGGTTTAGGAGTGGCTCCTGGTCTGCAGAGCCACCAGCCCGGTTGCACTGGTACAGTTCCTGAGCAGGGCTAAAGCAAACTGCTGATGGTGTTCACGGACTGGGCAGGCTGGGAAGAGCTTCTGCCTAAGAGCTCAGCTCAGTCTCCCCTCTGGCAGGTTAAAGCCATTCCCCTTGGCCTGGCCCTACAGGCCCTTGTCCAAAGCCCCTCTCCAGCTTTCCTGCAGCCCCTTTAGGCACTGGAGCTGCTCTCAGGTCTCCCCTTCAGGAGCCTTCTCTTCTCCAGGCTGACCCAGCCCAGCTCTCTCAGCCTGGCTCCAGAGCAGAGCTGCTCCAGCCCTCGCAGCATCCCCATGGCCTCCTCTGGCCTCGCTCCAACAGCTCCACGTCCCTCTTGTGCTGCTGCCCCAGAGCTGGATCAGGGCTGCAGGGGAGGTCTCCCCTTCACGCAGCAGAGGGGCAGGATCCCCTCCCTGAGCTGCTGCTCACGCTCTGGGGGTGCAGCCCAGCACACGGCAGGGTTCTGGGCTCAAGTGCACGCTGAAGCCGGGTCATGGGGAGCTTCTCCTCACCCAACACCCCAAGTCCTTCTCCTCAGGCTGCTCCATCCAGTCTCCCCCAGCCTGGGTTTGTGCTGGGATTGCCCCAACCCAGGGGCAGGACCTTGCCCTTGGCCTTGTTGAACTCCATGAGGTTCTCACAGTCCCACCTCTCCAGCCTCCATAGTTTTGGAATCACCTTCTCCAGGTGCCCGTTTATCAATGTATCATCCCTCCCAGCAATGATAATGTTAGCACCTATAATACAGTGTGAAGGGTGGAGATCAGCTATGGATTGCCTCCTCCATGCTCCACGCAAATGGACCAGAGCCGAAGGCTCCTCCCCTTGAGGAACTTAGGTACTGGAGAATACAGAATGAGAGCAGAAAGGCAAACAGAAGCTGCTCCCAGCTGCTTCCCCACATCCAAATGTCTCATTTCCCTTCCTGTTTTAAGCACATAATTCTTTCTTCTTTGGTTTCCCCCCTTGGATTTCATGTATTCACTTGAACTGGGGCATAAAATCCAAGTCTGAATGTTGTTGACCTGAAACAGAAGCTGACAAGCCAATGTGTTAAAGAAATAAATCTGTTATAAATGCTTTTATACCTAATACTGTTTTCCAAACTGCTCTATGTCCACCCAGAAATGGTCCAGCTCATTGTTATGGACATATTTAGACAATTGTCGTATTTATTCCCCACAAAGCCATTGTCAAGTTCTTCATTCTTTGGCAGACACCACGTTCTCAGCATTAGTAGGATTATTCTTATGACTCATACTGGGGTTGCTTGTACAAGGTCCAGGCACAGACTAATCCTTTCACGCAAAGACAGAGGGAGAGGATGGTCCCTGCTTGAAAGAGCTTACACGCTTGGAATTATCCCTCTTCCATTCAAGAAGAACTGTGGGCAGAAGGAAATCCACTTTTGAAGGATCTACAAAAGACACGTCGGGAACAGCAGTCACCCCATGCAGAAGAGGCAGGAGGCCTGAAGCATCACAGTGCATGAATGAAGGACAGGAATGAAGATCTAACTGCTTCTTCTTCCTTGTGCTATTCATGGCTCCAAGACCTCTCCAATAAGGCTCAGCAGCCTCCCTTTTGAGGACAAGGCCTTGTTGATCCTGTTTGATCTCCTCTGCAGACATCCTCAGAGGTTTCCTCTCAATTGCAACCAGATGGATCCCCAACAAACCATCAGTGCACAAGATGCAGCTTTAAAAGGCCCAAAGGATGAGGGATTCCAGGGACCCAGCCCAACTGGTAACAAACATAAAGCCCAACAGAGATCCTAAGTGGAAATCAGAGCTTAATACAAATCAAATCCCATTCCCCAAAAGGAGAAACCCAGTTTAACCTCCCTGAAACAGAACCGTGGTGGGCAAGACCTGTCCAGGGGCTGTGGAGCAGCAGCTACAATGGAGCTGCTGGTTGTTGGAATTCTAGGACCCCATCGCCCGAGGCTATGGAGACTTTCATGGTGTTGGCTTCTTACTTCCTTCTCAAGGGAAGAATGGGATTCAAACCAGCAGCATGGACTGCTCAGAGCCTTGTTGGAGCTGCCTCCTCTGGTCCTCTCCAACCCCCTGATCCTGCTTTTGCTGCTCCCCCATCACTGGTTTCCTCAGCACAGCTTTGACCATGGGGCAGAAAGAGCCTGGCAAACTGCACTAGTGACTGTTTCCACTTAGTGCAGGCACAGAGGGCTTTCATGTAGAGCTGGGTGCCTGCCTAGTGAAGCTGAGACACTAAACAGGTCAAATGTGTGGTCCGAGGAATCCAGGATGCGTGTCCACCTAACGAAAAAGGCACCAAATCCCCATGGGAAGGCAGTGATGTGCCAATGGTTTGGGCTGTGAAAAGTTCTTCCTAAAGTCTCTTTTGGGATCAGATGAATTTGGCAGTTGAAATCAAATCCTCATTGAAAAGGAGGAGGGGAAAATCCAACTGGGAGTAATTTGTATAGCAGGACTGAAAACTGGCATCTTAAAGCAAGTCATGCAGTTGGTGGGATTAAGAAGTCCCAGAAGAAGTACAAATAATGACAATCGGACTATTCACATACACGAAAACATTGGGGCTGATTCTTTGTCTCATAATGTCCCAGCAAAAGTGGCCAAGGAAGAGGTAAAAGAGTGGAGGAACCAGAGCAGCATGTTCATCAGACTGAAGGAATGGCTGTGGTTGCTCTAGCAGTAGAGAAGTGTTCAGACTAACAACTCTTCCCTTTGCTGAAGCGGTAAGGATCTGTGTTGTGGCATTGTGTGGCTTCAAACACCATCAGCCACCCTTGATGCTGGTTTGGGGAGACCTTCCAGGTGAGCTGTGGAACAAGGTAACCTACTGCTCTTCACCCTTCCCTTGTGAAAAGCTTGCGTGAGCAGCAACGTGATGGTCCACTAGTCCATCCCCCAAAATGGGATTTGCAGGAATTAAAGAATCATAGAACATAGAATCCCGGACTGGTTTGGGTTGAAGGGACCTTAAAGCCATCCAGGTCCAGAGCAGGGACCCCTTCCACTAGAGAAGGTTGCTCCAAGCCCCTGTGTCCAACCTGGCCTTGAACACTGCCAGGGATGGGGCAGCCACAGCTTCTCTGGGCACCCTGTGCCAGCGCCTCAGCACCCTCACAGGGAAGAGCTTCTGCCTAAGAGCTCAGCTCAGTCTTCCCTCGGGCAGGTTAAAGCCATTCCCCTTGGCCTGTCCCTACAGGCCCTTGTCCAAAGCCCCTCTCCAGCTTTCCTGCAGCCCCTTCAGGCACTGGAGCTGCTCTCAGGTCTCCCCTTCAGGAGCCTTCTCTTCTCCAGGCTGACCCAGCCCAGCTCTCTCAGCCTGGCTCCAGAGCAGAGCTGCTCCAGTCCTTGCAGCATCTCCGTGGCCTCCTCCGGGCTCACTCAAGCAGGTTCAGTCCCTCTTGAGTTGGGAAATGGGAACAATGTCTGTCTTGTGCCAGCAAATGGGATGAATGAGAGGGTTTGGGATAACCTGAATTATATTTAACAAGAATTAATATTTATGTGCTTTAAAACAGCAGTGCACAGAGGCCAAAAAGCTGTGAAAGTGTTTGCTGGTCTTGATGCAATGGGTTCACGAGGCAGAGGTGACCACACAGACACACACTGTGGAGCTCCTCAGAGGTGCTCTGTGCACTCAGCCTCCTTGGGGCAGGATGATTTGGCTCTTACTCACGGCACAGGCGGTATTACAAGAGCTGTGCATTGGCAGCCAGCCCAAGGCCACCCTGCACCTTGCTGGATGCCAGAACATAATGAGCAAATACTTCCGCTTGCAGGCTGCTCCCTCCCCATTCCCTACAACCTGCACCAGGGCTGTGCCCGGAGCAAACTGGAGCCTTGGGGGCACGGGCTGGGCTGAGAGCTTGAGAAAGACCTGATCCAACCAAGGAAAGCGGAGTGAAATTGGACTGGAGGCCAGTGAGGAGCCATTGTGTGAGTGGAGCAGGACTTGAGCACTGAGGAGCAGGTTTTGCACGCCGGCAGCTCCCGAGGGACATGAGCATTGCATCGGAGCACAAGCCCTTTCGGAAGCAGGTCACGGGAAGCCTGCATACTGTGAGTAATGTACCAGCTCAAGGGCAGTGTCCTGGGGGATCAAAGCATTCCCTTTGGGCTCCTTTAGAGTGTTTTTGTACCCCCATCTGTTATTGTAAAGACACCAGGGCTTGCCAGATGTGTGAGCAAGAAGAGGGCTCTAGGTATAAAGCTGTCTGACCCTGGCCTGTTTGCTTACAGAAGGGCCATGTCCCTTGCTGGCATAGATCTGCTAACAACAAGTAACCAGAGTTGTTCTTCTTCTCCTTTTACAAGAGGTGGAATTAACTTAATATGACCTTTAATTGCTCAGATAACTAAATAAAAACCTGCTGTGAGTTTTGGGTGGGTTTCAACAGTTCTTGGAGTCTCTAATGGAGCAATGCCCTGTGTTGAGTCATCAGGTGGGAGCAGTAGTTTTTCTAGCTCTAAGGAAAACAAGAGGCAATGTCAGACAGGCAGAAATCAGTGATGAGATCGTTTTCCTTTTCCTCTCCTCTCTCCTCAGGCCACTCTTAACCAGTTTGTCTTCTCTGCTGTAGCTGTACAACTTCTCCCTCCAGACCTCTTCGATCCAACCTTCTTGTGTTCTACTTTTCAGGTGTGGGTTGCAAAACGCTTCCCCAAGGAAGTAACCGGTTTATAGGGGGATAAACTGGGGCATAAGTGGGTGGAATGACTTTCCTAAGTGTCACCTCACTAATGACAGAGCTGGGAATCAGCTGGTGCCAGTGCTCCTGGTCTGCTGGGAATCAGTTCTGCTCCCCAGGCTAAAACCATTGGACCTGAGAATATCAGGTTAATTTGGCTACGGTATTAATGAAGATTTGATCCATTTGTGTCAGTGAGCAACAGCATGCAACATCTGAGAAAGGAGCAGAGGCTCAAAAGCATGAGACCCTCCTGTCAAATGAGCCCTGTCAGGGAAAAGCTGTTGCTGGCACTTGGATTAATGGCAGATTTCCTACAGAAACAGCTCTGGGCCATGCTCTTCAGTGGGTGGGAATCACAAGATCGGCTCAGACAGAATTGATATTTATGTCTCCTTGGCTCTAGTGTAAATGATCGTCCCCAAGATGAAGCCACCCACACTAAGGCAAAGCAGTATTCCAGCTGGGTCTTTGGCTCTTGTTTCCCTGCCTTGCTGAGGCTGGGAGCCAATTGCTGCTAAATGTGATAGCTTACTGCTGTCTAAAGGGAAGGTCTCCCCCTGCTCCATGTTATCTGTTCCTAGTCCCTTCCTTTTGCTAGCTCTGCTGCTTGTTAAATCCTTTGTGAGCCAGTTCAGCTCAGTAAGGTGAAAGAGAAGCACAAGGTGAGCAATAGAAGCAGGTAGGTAGGAATGAGGATGGAAAAGGGAGAGGGCAGCAGAAGCTCCCCTTTCTCTTGGCTGGAGATCAGCTCACGTCATCCCGTGCGTCTGGTCCTTGGGATCCAGCTGAGTACTTCAGCACGTGCTTCACTTCAGGCATGTGACCGAAGCACTGAGGCAGATCCTGGTGTGAGCAGATCCAAGAAAGAGCAGGTTTGCTCCTGGAAAAAATGGGTTGTTATTGACTCACACCTTCCCAATGGCAGGTGTGGTCCTGGCTGCGTATGGGATGATTACAGCAGGAGGGAAACAACTGCCTCCTTTCTTCCCTCTCCTTGTCCTCCAGTTTCTTTATCTGGAGGAAAAGAACTACTTTTCCTCCAGTTCTTTTTACAGTATTGAGTAATGGAGAAAGTGACCAAGTGCAAAGTGATGCTGTTGAAACTCTGCAGCACTGAACCACCAGGAAGGCTGGACTGGACATCACATCCAGCTTCCCGGCATTCAAGGCTCCTCCAATGTGTTTCAGATAGCATGGGGAAATGAAATAAATCCAAACAAAACCCTAAGCTTTACATTATTTCTTCTTAAATCCATGTCAGCTGCATGAATGATGGGATGGAAGGATGCTGGGGAGGGACTCTTCATTAGGGACTGTAGTGATAGGACAAGGGGTGATGGGTTCAAACTGGAACAGGGGAAGTTCAGGTTGGATGTAAGGAAGAAGTTCTTTACTGTGAGGGAGGCACTGGAATGGGTTGTCCAAGGAAGTTGTGAATGCGCCATCCCTGCCAGTGTTCAAAGCCAGGCTGGATGGAGTCTTGGGTGACATGGTCTAGTGTGAGGCATCTCTGCCCCTGGCAGGGGGTTGGAACTGGATGATCTTAAGGTCCTTTCCAACCCAAGCCATTCTATGATTCTATGATTTCCTTTACTTCCTAGCTAAAGCTATCACAGGTTTTCCAAGTGCCTTGATTCTGTCCTCCATCTCTGACATGCTGGATTTTTGAGTGTTCCTTAGTATTTATGACTCAACTCCCTGACAAGTAGAAGATTCCACCCATTTCAAGGGGCTTTAGTTCCTTCCTTGAAGAGAAAACACCAGCTCAGATGAGAAGAATGGAGTTGCAGGGCTTTAGAGCCTTGTCTCTCTTCACATGGGGAGGATGAGAGCACACAGATTGCTCTTGTTGGAAGGAGAGCGGCTTGTGTGGGACTTAGGAGATGGATGTTGAATCCTGAGGTCACTGACAGCTTCCCTGGGCAGGGTACTTCTTGTCCCTTTTCCCCACTTGCAAAAAGTGGACTAATCCCAAATTTCCTTCATCCTAAAGATGTGGTGAGGACTTGGCCATTTTGAAATGTCCAGGTTTCTGCTGCTGTGGTTATGAAGGCTGTATAAACATCCCACATCTGCTTTGAGCAATAAATGGGGTGGCTGTTCCCATCTGATCCCTATGGGAGCTCATACTGCTCCTCACACCACCATTCCCACTTCCAGCAGCAATCATCCTTTTTTAACTAAACACATCCAAGTTCATGGCCTCAGACTGATAACACACACGGCTTTTTGTCCCCTTTGTGATTCTTGCAGTTGTTCCCAATCGTGGAGTTAAATGTCGGCGGGGAGATGTACACAACAACCCTGAGCACCTTAAAGAAACACCCTGGCTCCAAGCTGGCAGAGATGTTCACTGGCCAGCCCAAACTGAAGACTGACTCCGAAGGGAGGTTCTTCATCGACAGGCCAGGCACCTACTTCAAATACATCCTGGAGTACCTTCGTAGTAACCAAGTGCCCACCCAGTGCATCCAGGACGTCTACAAGGAGGCGTTGTTCTACGACATCGAGCCTCTGATCAAGCAGCTTGAGGACTCCCCACAGCTCTTTGGGGAGCTCATGGCCAGGAAGCAGTTTCTGGCTCGTGTGCCCAACTACAGCGAGAACATCGAGCTCATGATCCGCATCGCCAGGGCAGAGGCGGTCGCGTCGCGCCGCTCCAGCGTCATCGTGTGCGTGGTGAAGACCGAGGAGGATGCGGCCAGATGTCAGGATGCCCTGAGCAGCTTGGACATGGATAAGAAGTCCGTGGTGAAGTTTGGGCCCTGGAAGGCAGCGCCAAGTGTTTTTGACCTGTTGGACTGCATCCAAATGGATGTGGAAGCCAAAGGGTATAAAATAGCCTTTCAGCCCTATGTTGCCGAAAAAGGGTTCCGCTTCAAATCGCATGACTTCTTCTACAAGTTCCTGTTCACCTGGTGGTAGTAAAGTGCCTCCAAAGGGAATTCCAAAGGGAATGGATGGAAGTAATTATTAAACCAAATTAACTTGGTCTGTGGAGAGTAAGCTACGGATTACCGCAAGGACAGGAGGAAATGCATGGGGCAAGGAAATGATCTCCCTTGGTCATTTGCTAAATTAAAGAAGATTTAAGAGCTACTGATTACTTAGGGGATAACCACGTGTTTAAAAGGCAGCAGGAAAAGGAAGAATTTTACTCTTTCAGCACTGTTAACTACTAAGTTAGTTCAGAGAGGCCAATCTGAGCCAAAATCACTCAACCTAAGAGAAATGAATAGTCCCAAATAACTATCATGGACATGTGGAGTTGGCTTCTCAGTGCCAACGGGAAGGGTCACATAGGTGCAATTCACGGTGGAAACAGTGATAGCTGCATTAATACATGCTCAAATTAAATCTGGATCCTTAGTGAGATGGCAAAAGCTCTTCTTCTCACTGCTTTCCATGCTAGAATGTGGGTTAAAAAGAATTTGGTCGCCTCCACTCTCTTTGTGTTCCTCCAGCAGCCAGCCTGCTCTGTAACCAATGTATTTATTAGCATTATTTATTACTTATTCTGAAGTAAAGACAGAGAACCTCAGCTCTGGTCCAGGATCAACACAAGGGAAATATACCATTGCTGATGGTTTATAATCTAAGTTTATACATTTTTTTATAGTATAGAGTTTATAATCTAAGGACATCACTCCTCTCTCAGGCCACACCATTTTGATCTTTTTCTTACGATATTCATCATTATTAGGATGTTATTTCTAAATATATAAGCTTCTGGAAGAATAGGGAAAACCCACTGTCATTTGATGGGAAGGAAGTGCTACTGAAGCGATAGCCTGGGACCTCAGTGTAAATTCTCCTTTACAGAACACGAGTTGGATCCCACATCGTGTTGTAAAACTCCTAGTATTTAAAGGTTTATTTTTGTACTGGAGATGGCTGTTACCTTGGTTTTAATCACTCTGAAAATCATAATGGCTGATTTCATGCAATCATAGTATAGTTAGGGCTGGAAAGACCTTAAGATCATCAAGTTCCAACCCCCCTGACATGGGCAGGGACACCTCGGACTAAACCATGGCACCCAAGGCCTCGTCCAACCTGGACTTGAACACTGCCAGGCATGTGGTTCTGGGCAACATGCTACAGTTGAACCTGTCTCTGCTCAGTGCAGGGCGGTTGGACTAGATGATCTTTGAAGGACCTTTCCAACCCAAACTATTCTAATATTCTATGATTCACAACTTTCCTGGGCAACCCATTCCAGTGCCTCAGCACCCTCACAGGAAAGAACTTCCTCCTTATATCCAATCTAAACTTTCCCTGTTTCAGTTTTAACCCGTTACCCCTTGTCCTATCACTACAGTCCCTAATGAAGAGTCCCTCCCCAGCATCCTTGTAGCCCTCGTCAGACACTGGAAGCTGCTCTGAGGTCTCCACCCAGCTTCTCTTCTCCAGGCTCAACAGCCTCAACTTCCTCACCCTGTCTTCATATGGGAGCTGCTCCAGCCCCTGATCATCCTCGTGGCCTCCTCTGGACTTGTTCCGACAGTTCCATGTCCTTTTTATGTTGAGGACACCAGAACTGCACACAGTGCTGCAGGTGAGGTCTCACAAGAGCAGAGTAGAGGGGCTGGATCATCTCCTTCGACCTGCTGGTCACGCTCCTTTTGATGCAGCCCAGGATACGGTTGCTTTCTGGGCTGCAAGCACAACTGAAGCCGGCTCATGTTCATTTTCTCATCAACCAACACCCCCAAGTCCTTCTCTGCAGGGCTGCTCTGAATCTCTTCTCTGCCCAACCTGTAGCAGTGCCTGGGATTGCTCTGACCCAGGTGTAGGACCTTGCACTTGGCATGGTTAAACTCCATGAGGTTGGCATCAGCCCACCTCACAAGTGTCTCAAGGTCCCTCTGGATGGCATTCCTTCCCTTCAGGGTATCAGACGAACCACACAGCTTGGTGTCATCGGCAAACTTGCTGAGGGCGCGCTCAATCCCACTGTCATTTGATTTCAATCACACTGTCTCTGCTTCTCAGAAGACGGATTTCTTCCAGTAATCTCTGGGATGTTAAATAAATAACTTTTAAAAGCCCTTTGAATGAAGTAAATGCTTTATTTACTGACCTCTTCCCTCCCAAATCCCCCAGTCCTGAAGATGTCAAGTTTTACCTGTATGCCTATGGATGTGAATCATTCCCAAGTAAGCTCGGTTTCCAATGTGCTCAGCTCAGCACAGACTGACCCCAGTTAAAGGCAGAAGTCACAGCTCAGGGCAGTTCTGATGTAGGTGTGAGGGGCTATTTGAGACGTTTAGACCCTTGGTAAGGATGGACACAGAGTCTGAGAGGACAACAAGGTGTAAGAAATACAATCTATGATCGTACCTTCGGTCATAACTGAATGGTTGGTGGTGCTTAGTCCAGGCGAAGAGATGTGAAGGTGGCCTTCAAATGGACAAAAGGCTGCTCTAAAGAGATCTGTTACTCTTTGTTCCCCATCCCTGGCAGCGCTCAAGGCCAGGCTGGATGTGGCTTGGAGCAATCTGCTCTAGTGGAAGGTGTCCCTGTCCGTGGGGCAGCCACAGCTTCTCTGGGCACGCTGTGCCAGCGCCTCAGCACCCTCACAGGGAAGAGCTTCTGCCTAAGAGCTCAGCTCAGTCTCCCCTCGGGCAGGTTAAAGCCATTCCCCTTGGCCTGTCCCTACAGGCCCTTGTCCCAAGCCCCTCTCCAGCTTTCCTGCAGCCCCTTTAGGCACTGGAGCTGCTCTAAGGTCTCCTTCTCTAACTTGGCAATCCATGTTATTTATATGTGGCTATTTATACGGTCTGCTATCAAATACTAACGAAACTGGTGAGTATGTTGGTGGAAAACGATCGGGGCTCGATCGAGCAGCGAGCCGGGCCAGGCCGCAGCCGCCATGTCCGCCCCGCGTTCCCATGGCAACAGCAGGCCGCCCGCTGCGGGGCGCGGCCTCCTGACCATAGAGCTCCTCCTCCAGCTGTGCAGAGAGGCCTCTGTCTGTTGGCGCCTCTCTGCGGGTGCCTCGGTGGTTTCTCTTCCGGGTTGCGCGGCCGCCAACATGGCGGCGCACCTGAAGAAGCGGGTGTACGAGGAGTTCACCAAGGTGGTCCAGGTAACGCACTGATACGCGGTAGGGCCGGGGGGGGGGACGGGACGGCACGGCTCCCGAGCTCCGCCGTGCGGCCCGTGAGGCGGAGCTGTGGCGGAAACCAAGGGCTCAGCCCGCGGCCTAGCCGCTGTGTGCCGCCCGCCGCTATGGGGCCGTGAGGGGCTGGAGGGGGTCCCGACTGACGGGGGGCTGATGTGGACTGACTGATGTGGCTTCCCCCAGCCCGGGGCGGGGAACGAGGGCGAGTTGTTCGGCTGCTCTAGGCTGGTGGGTACGGGAGGATTTGTGTTTGCCGTGGGTTGGTTGTGTGGGGTTGGAAGGGGCAGGATTTGCCGCAGGTCGGTGTGGGAGGAGGCAGTGTTTCCTGAGAATGGGGGCTATATGGGCAGGACAGGAGCAGCCATGGGGGGCTGAGGATGTGTTTTGTCCTAAGGTAGATGAGGGAGAGGCCAGGGACTGCTGTGGGGCATAGGAGATAACTCAGGCTTGGTGCTCTCTCTATGAAGGATTTGCTGTGTGTTTCTGACCCATGTCCCTCTGCCCACAGCAGCAGCACGAGGACTTGTCTGCTAAGAAGCTGAGGTTGACCAAGCCCAGCAAGTCAGCAGCACTCCATGTGGACCTGTGCAAAGCCACCTCGCCTGCAGATGCGTTGCAGTACCTGCTCCAGTTTGCCAGGAAGCCTGTGGAAGTGGAGAGCGTGGAAGGGGTTGTCAGGATCCTGCTGGAACATTATTACAAGGTGGTGAAGCTGGGAGCCAAGTGTGCTTCCAGGATCCTCCATCTGGGCTTGTTTTTGGGGTGTTGGATGTGTAATTGGGAGTCACAGGGTGCTGTGTTGCTCACCTGGCTGCCAACAGCTTCTATGTGTGAGGAGGCTGAGGGACTCTGATCCTTTACCCCAGTGGTTTCTGATCATGTTGGTCCCTTTGCTGATGGCTTCAGGAGCCTGTGACAAGGTTGTGACTGTGTTATCCCTGCAGATAGTGTGATTAGTTAATTGAGTGTGTGATAAGTTAATTTCAGTTTAACAAGGGACAAAAGACAAGAAGTTATCCAGGGAGCCTGACTATCCAGAACTGGCTTAACTTTGTCTGAGTCCTCCCTGACTGATGTTTCCTTACCTTGCTCTTTATTTTCTCTAGCAGTGGAGAAGCATTTTAGCTATTGCTTATGCTGTGAGCAAAGCCCTTTTAAAATGACACTACTGAAAATCTTTTCAACAAAAAGGTCTTAAAAGCAGAATAACAAATAAGTAACAGGGATAAAATATGTTTCATGGTATCCAGATATTGATCCTTCACTTGATAAAGCAAAGCTTTAGAATCATAGAATTGTTAGGGTTGGAAAGGACCTTAAGATCATCCAGTTCCAACCCCCTGCCATGGGCAGGGACACCTCACACTAAACCATGGCACCCAAGGCTCTGTCCAGCCTGGCCTTGAACACCACCAAGGGTGGAGCATTCACAACCTGACATCTGACAAAACTGAAATGTTTCTCAGAAACACCCTTATGCTACTCTGTCTTTCCTCTTATATTTGAGTTTGTCTTGCTTTGAGCTTGCAGCAGAGCTCAGTTGCATTTTATCTGTTTCTGTACTTTAAATGCTTTGACTCGAGACTGTTTCACATTTGGCCATTTTGATGAGAATTTATTTTGGTCACTGGACTGGTTCCCACTCAAAAGATTGGACACCTTCATCTGTTTGTTCTGGGAGTTCTGTCATTTGTGGTCAAATAATGCAGCTTGTTTGTGTTTGAAGTTTGTCTTGAAGCCTATATTAGAAGAGAGACTCAAGTCTACAGTCACATTCTCAAGTGCATAACCTGTTACAGAAACCAGTTTATAAAGCAGCACAGTCCTGATAATATTTTACTTAAGGACAAAATCTTTTGAAGATCTGGTTTATTATAAACCAGTATCTCCAGAAAAGGGGGGGTTGGAAATGGATGATCTTAAGGTCCTTTCTAACCCTAGCTGTTCTATGATTCTATACTAAAACTTGCACTTGAACTGATCCTTCAGAAACTTCACTCTGAAAGCTGGAACTGCAGTGGAAGTTGTGTGATGATGTGTTTGTTTGTAGTGTTTTAAGGTGGTAGAGAAGCCTCCTGCTTCTTCATCCCTTTATATGTGATAGAACAATCCCCCAGCAGTCCTACTGGCTTCTGAAATAGATCAGGAAAATCATCTGGCTTTTCCTTTCTTCCCCATTTTCCCACCCATGGCCATGGTGATGATGGAATCAGCACCACAGCTGAGCAGAGAGCATGTTGCCATGTGTGTGGGAAAGCCATGGGGGCAGGGTATTGTAAGCCTTGTTGTGACATGTGTCTTCAAACAGTGGCCTGAGGTGATCCTCATGTTCCTTTCCTGACCCTTCAGGGTAGCAGGGATGAGGGATTAGAGGCAGCTTCACTTACGGGTGTTTTGGTTGTGGATGGCAATCAGACCTGCAAACTCAAAGGAGAACTTCCTCTATTTTCCAGCTGAGGCACGTTAGAAGGAGGGAGGGAGAAAGATGTCCTTTGGGGTGGGAGACTGCTTGTAGCTCCATAATAACATCACAGATGGTATTTCTAAGGCTGTTAAAAATGCCTTCATAAGTGGTTTGAGTTGGAAGCGACCTTAAAGCTCATCCAGTTCCAAACCCCTGCCCTGGGCAGGGACCCCTTCCACTAGAGCAGCTTGCTCCAAGCCCCTGTGTCCAACCTGGCCTTGAACACTGCCAGGGATGGGGCAGCCACAGCTTCTCTGGGCTCCCTGTGCCAGTGCCTCAGCACCCTCACAGGGAAGAACTGCCTTACATGTAACCTGAACTTCCCCTGTTCATCTGAACACCACAA